TATAATTATTAATTATTTTTAACAATCAAATAAATACAATTTCATTATTCCTGTGTGCTCTTCAAAGTTCAAACTTTTCTCTGTCACAATGGACCAAGTGGAAGTGAGAATGTATAAGTTGAAGCTTCACTTTTGACAGGGATATTATTTTTTTTAATTCGGAGAATTGGTTGGAAAGGAGAAAGTATATCCTAAAACTAAAATTTAAATCAGGTGTTTAAATACATTATGTCGAGTAAATGATCACTAGATCACAAATATTAGATTTTTTATTGAAATATTATTGGGACTGTAGCTATGAAAAATGTAAAGCTAATGGCAGCAATGATCTACTAGCTTTTAAGGTTCAAAATGCTGTATGATTTGTCTAATTTCTGGTGTAATAATTGTCATTTGCCAACCACGCAATGGATTGATATTTCATTGGCATGGGAATCTTTTGCTTTTGTTTTTTTTTGTACAAAATCTTTCCCACATCCTACTGTGTTGACCGTCTTGCTTAGTTGAAATCGAGGAATAATTGGGCTACCCCACTAGTAAAATCTCCTTCATTAACTGCAACTAGATTTTTTATTTTTTAAAATTTTGAATTGAAGTGTAAGAGTTATTTTTTTTAATTTTTTAATTTTTTACACTTTCATGTTATGTTATTTAAACATAAAATTTATTATTGATCTAAGTATTATATTAATTTTTTTATGTATTATTGACCTCACTAAAATCTAAAACGTATATTGGATTTCATGAATAATTTATAATTTACAAACTTAATTAAATTAAAATTTTTAAGCATATGAGTATTATGGTTAAAGTCAAATTCCTTAAAACTCAAATATAACTTGATGTTACGGTACAATAATAAACCAATTTAATTCAAGTAACTTGATTTTGAACTTGATTCATAAATTTTATTTAGTTTTTAAATTTAATAAAGGATTTAAATTAAATTAAAATCAAAATTTTCAATGTTTTATATATATTTAGTTTTAATATAAATGAATCAAATTAATTTGAATATAACTTGATTTTGAACTTGATTCATAAGTTTTATTTACTTTTTAAATTTAATAAAGGATTTAAATTAAATTAAAATCAAAATTTTCAATGTTTTATATATATTTAGTTTTTAATATAAATCAATCAAATCAAATTTAAATTATAACCCGTATTTGATTTTACTTAATTTTTTATGGTAAGTTTTCAACTCAAACTTGGTTTCAGAATAAAATTGAATCCAACTCGAGTTCAAGTCGGGTAATAAACTCATTGACAACACTAATTACACCAACTTTGAAATCTTAATGACTACTAGAAGAATGTCTAGAACTGCAAAACTAACAAAGTGAAGGTTGAGGACCAACTTATGCTTTGAGTTAAAAACTAAGGACCAAAGAGAGCAATTTAGCTTAGATGTAGAGAAGAAAACATAGCATTTGTTTTCATCACGATTCACGTGGTAAAGAAAAGTATAATTAAAGTTCAAGCTATCACCGACCGTGATAATTGTCCTTGGGTAAGGGGCCTGACAGATCTTAACATAGACTAATTTGAAAGAAGTTTACAAAGTAGCGCAATTTACCTTAAAAGGGGAAAAAAAAGTTGTGCAATTTTCATCACTTTTTTTTTTTGGTACAGATTTTCATCACTTTTTACCATTGAATAAATTTGGAATGGGGTTTGG